ATATCATCTAGTCCCCCCCACTCTGGTCGAGTCTGAATGACTCGATCTAAGAGTGACTTAGTATTTATCGTCCTTCTGGATGGTTCGTCTTTAGGTATCGACCAGCTGGCAAACTTCCCGCTCATTTTTTCGAATAATTCCCCATTAATCACTGGAAATAAAATTATCTGCTTTAAGTCCTTTCTGTCGCACCCGTTTTCCGCCACGCGTCACGTCTGTCATATGTGTCAGGCGCTTTAATTATTGCGCCTCCTCGCCTAACGCGTCCGTTTTGAACTCCGTGCCAATTAATACTCCCCATCGTTGGATCTGCCTTTAATCCAACGGTCCTTATCTTTCCACCCTTCAATCTCCAAAGTATAAATCCCATACTTAGCGTATTTTTCATCTTTTTCCACCTTCTCAGTTTTCAAATTACTCTGTGCCCAGAATTCTCTCTGCAAAAAACCCTTACTTTTTCGACGGTTTCTCCTGCGCTCTCTCGAACTTCCATCAATTATCAATCCATGGTTATGAGTAAGTCTCTTCACACTTGAATTTATATTCCTTGTAGTTCTATTTTGTGTATTCTTGGGTTTTCAATATTGGGCGCTCTTGATCTGTCTGCTGAATTGTTTCAAATTGGCTTGTCTTGTGTTGAATTTGCGCTTGGAATATTTTTGTTTGTCTATTGAATGTTGTGGATTTTGTCTCTCCGTTGAAAAATTTTTGAAATTTCCGTCCCTTTACTTCCCGAATTCTCCTCCTGGTTTTTGGATTGTTCTCCCCCAAAACCCTAATCTTTCTTCTCCCCTTTTTCTTCTTTGCGGCAGCTTCTTTTTGATATTGTTCTCTTTGTTTTTGTTTTGATTTTCTTTTCAGACTCTGAGACCTCCTCTGATTCAGTTGAAATACTACCCTCTGCGCTCGAAGCTGTCCCTCTCTCTATCCTTCGCCCCGGCGATACAGTTCCCACTCGCGTTTTTACAGCCCACGTCGCTTCTTCAAACTCCAGGGATACTATGGATAACGTTCCTCTCCGCCATCGTCGACTTCCCCTTGGTGCGTTAGATGAGCCAGAGGAGTGCGAGGTTGATTCTCTGCAGCCCACTGCTCCTCCCTATTCGAGTTCTCCGCCCAAACAGTCCTCGACCAAAAAACTTTCCAAGCGCTCTTCTTCTTCTTCTCTTTCTCATCCTTGGTTCAACCCCGACAAAATCGGCCAACCGCTTGGTTGGGCGTTCTTCAGGTCCTCTCCCTTTGACAAATTCGACCATCCTCCACGGGATTGCTACACTTTCTTCGAAATCCAGTTTAAACTTGGTCTTCGTTTCCCTCTGAATCCTGATCTTCTTAAGATCTGCGAGTGGTTCGGGCTTCTTCTTCATCAACTTCCCCCTAACGCTATCCGCTTTATGACCACTTTTGTCATTCTTTGCCACGTCCGCCTTGGTCGATTTGTCCTTGCCTTCTTCCATTACTTTTATGCCCCTTCCAAAAAAGGTCGAGGCATGTACTTAAAGAGTCGTAATGGTGCTCATTTCATCAACGACGTCCCCTCCAATCTTCCTAAATGGATCGATCGATTTATCTTTGTCCGTCCTGCTGAGCCTTTCTCTTGGCCTTCCATCCCGTGGGTCAAGGAGGTTCTTCAGGAGGTTTCTGCCCCTCCTTCGAACCCCCTTTTCGAGCAACGGGTCCATACTTGGAACTCTAAGACCGTTGCATCAGAAACACTTCTCAGAGACGAGAACCTTCTCCACCATTGTGGTCTTCTCACCCACAAGACTTGTCCTCCTCCCACCAACGAGATCCTTGATCTCATTCGACTTGAGGATGATCCAGGTAGTAATCGAGCAGATTAACTGAATGTTCGTGCGTTTCCTCATTTTTATTTCGAGTGATTATCACTAACCTTGCATATGATCTATATTGTGATTTTTTTTTCGCAGAGGTGCCCAGCTTCAACATCCCTCCG